TTACAGCTGAACATTTTGAACTTCTGAGCAAATACCAGGATATATATTGTGTATCGCTATTCTTCCTAAAGATACAGAGATACAGTTTTTGGTCCATATTGCCCAGCCCTAAATTAAAGGGGGTACTGTTGGCTGTTTGGTTCACCAATACAGGCGGACAACCCAGGTGAGCAACAGCGCCCCCTGTCTTGAGGAAGCAAGAGATAAAACGAGCAAGAGAGAAGCCGACTTCTTTTGTGCAACTGGTCCACCTTAAACTGCTAAACGATACCAAGTATTTTGAAGTAGAGTTAAAACGGGGTGTTAATTTTCCGGCCCCACCTTTAGCTACATGCGCAACTTTCTGGAAAGCTTGTTAGTTAAAGGTGAACAGGAGAACCTTGTGGTTTATCCTAAACTGTATTGGTATCCAATGGAGGGATGGAGGTACTGGTGTGATATGGTCATGCCTCTTAATGCCTGTTAAGAGACGTGCTGCAGCATTCTGTATCAGCTATAGGCGGGAGAGGGAAGCTTGACTGACCCCCGAATTCAGGGCGTTATGCTAATCCAGCCGAGATTAAATAAATGCAAGTATAGCTTTTTCAAAATCATCAAATGATAAAAAGTGCTTGACTTTGGATAAAAGTCTTAATTGAAAGAAGCTTGACTTCATCACTGATCTGATCTGCTTGTCCATTTTAAAATCACCATCCGTAGGACTAGAAGTAAGGTTCCAGGGAACCGAGGTTAATGTGGGGGAATCACTGGTCCCACAGGGTCGAAAAATGAGGAGCTCAGTTTTACTCTCATTGAAGTTTAAAACATTTAAGGCCACCCAGGCTTTGATGTCCTCCAAGCAGCCCGGCAACAGTGAGAAAAAATATATAATTGTTTATTGAATTACAGTCTTTTTCTCAGCACCTTAAAGCTTTTAGAGGACTTGCTCCTAGTTACCTTACTGACCTGATCACTCCTTATACCCCAGTTAGGTCTCACAGGCCTGCTGGTCTGTTTTTGTTGACCGCCAGAAAGTCTAGGCTAAAACAGAGAGGTGACCGGGTCTTGTCTGTCCTGTGGCCTGTACTGCGAAGCGTGGTTACTGGCTTATCGGGCTAACTTGTCGGATTTAAGGTACTACAGTTTAAATGGACTTCATACTCGTTCACTTACATTTTGCCCAGACTATCTTAAATCCGACAAGTTACCCGCCTCTAAACTGTGGAATAGCTTACCTTGAATGTTAGAATGGCACCATCACTGCGTGTTTTTAAGTGCTCTATAAATAAATAATAATACTTGTTATTATTATTATCTTGAAACTTAAAATCTTATAGTGATATATTACATTGTATAAAAGTTATTTGAAGGAATAATGTTTGTTTCTAAAACAAAGGCAATCCACTTCCCATATTTCATTATACCATTAATAAGAGGTATACGCAATTTTCCAGTATAGGTTCACTATACTGGAAGACAGGTTGTGTGTGTGTGTGTGTTTGTAATTATATTACTATTATTTCTAAAAATCTGTGAATGAAACTAAAAATGAACAAAAGGCTTTTTTTTGGTTACTTATTAACTTATGGTTAGGGCTGGGTAGGGGTTAAGGTTGTCATAGTTTGGATTAGGGTTTTTCCCATTGAAATGAATGAGCGGTCCCCATAAGGATATGTTTACCCTACATGTGTGAATGTGTGTGTGTGTGTGTGTGTGTGTGTGTGTCAGCTGGTCCATGTACCACCAGGCCCCTCCTTGTCTCTGCATGCTGGGAGCCAGACAGCTGGTACCCATTGCAGTCCGGCTGTGGGATGGATGGGAAAGCCCATCTCCACGGAAACCAACTGCACGGGCAGGCACTGCATCAACTGCTCATTTCCCCCCTCCCTCTCTCCCCCCTCCCCCAGTCTGAAGAGCCGAGGCTCGGGACAGCTGGTTGGTGCCCCCGTAGTCTCGGGTGGGGGAGGGGTATCCCTTAGCCGGACGTTTTGCATCTATCGATTGAAGCTGCAACCTCCAGGGTTACGAGGGGTGTGTATGCGGCAGTGATCACTCACCATGTAGTGTATCTTCCCCTCAAATCCACACCCTTCCAGGTGGAACCTCAATAGGCGCCCCCCCATGGCACGCAGCTACTGTTGTCACTCAGCAATACAAGAATGACTGAAAAATGCAGTGTGTAAAGAGCCATAAACCCATGCCATGGTCTTCTGGAACAATCCGGTTCCTCGGTACTCACTCTCATTATTCACACTTGGCCAGGTCATTTTGTGTAAGTCTCTCGCAAAGTCTCCTATACTGGAGGACTATTTGCTTCCCGGATGGGGAGCCCGGATCAGCGCTGTGTGCATGAATGCCGACTCTCCTGTGCCCGCACCGGCAGGAGGAGATGATCCACTGGGCCCCTGTTTGCTGCCTGGGCTCACACAGGCCGGATTTATGGGCTCCGAGTTTGTTCCATTCATCCGGCCGACTCCTTGGTAACGCCGTCTTCAGCCTGATTAGCTCAAGGTCCCGGGGAGGGGAAGGCCTTGCCAGAGTGTCTTGTAAACTGTTATAGAATGTGGTTTTTGCTAATTGGGCTTCAGAGTGTTTGGCCGGTCATGTGGGGGGGGGGGGGCTTGCAGGGCAGCAGTGGTTGGCAATGTAGCCCCTGAAGAGACAAGTGGGATCTTCATAGCGGCCAGTGGGAAAGGGCTACAATGGGATTTAATGCAGTGGAGAATTGGCAGGATTTTAAGAGAAGAGTGGCCCCCCTATCCCTTACTCTTTGTTTTGGGTGGAATTCTTTCTTTGCGGGGGACAGGATTCTGTCTCCTCTAATGGACATGAACCTTGGCGATCGTGCACAGTGTGCTGTTTGATTAAAGAGAAGAAAGACAGAAATTGCAAGGAGGCCTACAATGTGGCGTTGCCACCGATCTTGCTCTAATGATATAAAGTTCTCACATTTTTGCATTTTCTTACATTTCTTCTTTAATGAGGGCAAATATCTGTATCTCAGTATAGCCAACTGCCAAGAGTCACACGCTAAATTTTTCTGACCTTAGTCATTAAGATGAAAAAGGTTTGCATTGTTCCCTGTCTTTTGGAGCCAGAGACACGTCACCATCTGCCGGATGATTATTAGTAATCAATAATTGATGCTGCCTGGTCATCTGATCAGTGGTCTTGTTTGTCTGCAGCTTGGGTTGTGCACCATCTGCCACTGCACAAAGGTCACTGATGTCTGTTGTTCCTGTATTGATCAGCTTAATTGTTTAATGGTGCCCATGACCAATTAACAGTTACTCGGCCAAATAGATTAGGGTTAATTCAAACCCATTGATTAATACATTGATTAATATTTTCAGTAACACTTCACATAAAGCTCCCATCTATAGATAACTTCATAATGCATTATAATGGTCAGTATGAGAATTAATAAAGCATTACTGCATTACAATCATAAGGCATTATAGTGGTGGTTATAATACTTCATAAGCTCCAATGAAGCTCTCTTTTATAATACACTGTAGATACCTTCATAATGCATTATAATGGTCAATATAAGCATTAAGGATGCACCGTGCTGCGTTATAAAAGTATCTATAGTGCATTGTAGATGAGAGCTTCATAAGGAAGTAATAATGCATAATAAACATGGCTATAATGTGTTATGCCTTTTTATAAACATTAAATATAGTCACATTTATAATGCTTCATGAATGCATTCTAATGTGCTATTCATAGATTCTTGTAGACATGGCATTAGAAAGTGTTACCGTATTTTCTAACTGTTGTAACTGTAGAATGGTGTTGACCTTGAACTCCGAAATTCCCCTTTGTGTTGCAGCAAAGAGCCCTACTGGCACAGATTTTTCGTCAAGATCTCTTTTTCATCCCTAAATCCCTCAGTCTGCTTCTTATAGCATGAAAAACTATACAGTGTATGGGCCAAATACATGGAGCGGCTTGACTGTAGACTGCTGAGTGCTTTGTGTTTAAGACGTGCCACTCCATACTGGCCCCCTTTACTGTTTTGTCTGCTAGTGTATACACAGTGACGAGGACAGGTGCCTTCACCTCCACTCACCCCATTCAGGCATTTTTGGAGAAGCTTGGCTGGCATGAAGTGCCGTCTTGGCAGTGCCCGCGTCCAGCCCGGGAGGCTATGAGTGGCCCCATAGTGAGCCTTGAAGCAGCTGCACACACAAAGAGGTTGGATGAACCAGCTTGCTCCCAGCCGGTCTGGAAAGGAGAGACGAGAGGTGACTGGAGCACTGAGGCATTGTTTTTTGTGTTAGGAGAGAGAAGCAAATGAAGCACATGCATTGTGCAGCTCTTTAGGTACTTATGAGCAGATATTGCAGATATTTGCTAGACAGTAGGTCCCCCTGGGGTTTGCCCGCCCGCCCCACTTATTCTGTGTTTCTTCAAGCTCGTAGGCACCCCCACCGCAAACATTAGACTGAATAGGCCTAAATGCAGCCCCTGATTGCTGCCGCGTTGGTAGGACTCTATCAGCACTATGACCGAGGGCTGATTTCTCTCCCCTTCGTCCTACGTGTTTGGCTACAAAAAGGGGGTCTTCTTGGTTATTAACTCCAACCTGTGTTCTCTATATGAAAAAACACCAACCTCCTGAGATCCAAAGACAACTGCAGTTTGGGTTAGTGGTTTCTATCCTGGACTTAAATTATCACACTAAGTACGTCTTACAGCGACACGCTCAAGTCCCCTGCTTTCTCCTGCAAGTCTGAGTGTATTTTTGTAAGAAGTGTGTTTGTGCATTTTGTAAGGTACAGTACTCTGTAGTACCCATTACTAAGTAGCATGTGCTGAGCTCACATTGCAGGGCTGCCAACTCTCACGCATCTGGCGTGACACTCACGCCGTTAGATTCTCACGCTCAAGCAAGAAACCTTACGTGTGCATGTGAGACTCGTCTCGAATCGAAAATCTCACGCCAGCCAGCTGACCAAAGTTGGCAGCCCTGCCATGGTATTGTGAGCAGCTTCCCTCTCTGTCCTTCCCCGCAGGAAATTGTGTTGGTGGTCTTCTTTGGGGTGGAGTACGTGGTGCGACTCTGGTCAGCTGGCTGCCGCAGCAAGTATGTGGGCTTCTGGGGACGGCTGCGTTTCGCCAGGAAGCTCATCTCCATCATCGGTGAGAGCTGAAGCTTGCCCTGCCCCTCCTTGGCAAGCAGGAACCATCACTAATGTGACAGAGGCGAGGGCCTTGGGCCCTGTTTCAGTGCTGGTTGATTAATACCATCCATGTGGCATGAACTCCTGTGGAAGGTTGATGGCCCTGGTTCTGTTGTTCCTCCACAGACCTGATTGTGGTGGTGGCTTCTGTCATAGTTCTAACAGTGGGATCCAAAGGCCAGGTCTTTGCCACCTCAGCAGTGAGGTGAGGAGCATGGGGGGGGGCGGGGTTTTTTGATGGTGTCTACTGCCACCAGCCAGAGGCAGAGTGTGTGTGTGTGTGTGTGTGTGTGTGCGTGGTCCAGGTATACCTTACCTTGTGGGGACCAGGAAACTGGAAAAAAATCCATTTTATAAAAATCCGTGACTGCAATGAAAAAACTAAAAATGCAAAAACTTGTATTTTGTTTGGTAGGGGTTAAGGTTGTCATAGTTAGCATTAGCATTTTACCCATAGAAATGAATGAGCAGTCCCCACAAAGATATAATTACACAACTCTGTGTGTGTGTGTGTGTGTGTGTGTGTGTGTGTGTGGCTGCTTGACGGCGGCTGCGTGTCTTCCAGGGGGGTCCGCTTCTTGCAGATTCTGCGGATGCTGCACGTGGACCGACAAGGTGGCACCTGGCGCCTGCTGGGGTCTGTGGTCTTCATCCATCGGCAGGTGGGAATGGCGAGCGAACACAATGACATGTGAATGGTACATAAAGCCACTTTGTGGGAACTTCTCATAGACTCACATTATACTGTAATTGCAGTTTGCTATAATTAACCGTCTCTAACTATGAATCACTGAAACTCAAACAAGACAGCATTATTTGTTGAACTGTATTTTAAATGAACTTACGGTGTATGATTTTTTTCTTCCAGAATTTCTTGTTTTGTCAATGTTCCCACAAGAAAGCTAAATTGTTTACGCACACATATGCACAGACCCAAACACAATAATAAGAAAAATAAATAATATTAAAAATAACTTCCACGCAAATCAGTGTCTCACTAATATGGGGAATATCCCTGAAGGTCCAGGGAATATGATTTTTATTTGAAGGAAAAGTATTAATTCAGGAGACAGAGGGCAGGATAGGAATAGGACAAGTGGCAGATTTTCAGTAAATACACAAAGAGAACTGTCCTTTGGGTCTGGCTGAAAAGGGCGCCGAGCGGGTCGGACTGGGACAGGATGAGCTTAGGCTAGCTGCTGTATGAGAGATGAGTTTGCAGCCTCGTGGAGTCCTAGGTTTCCTCCATGTTAGTGAGGCCCAGAAAACCTGAATACGTCCATTTATACACATCGCAGGGAATGAGGCACAGGAGGAAGCAATTACCCTGCCGATCCTCGAAGCCCGACCTGCGCTTCCGCTTAAATTATTCTCAAAATGTAAAAACATAAACAAATTCATGCTTCCTGTTTTTTCACCTACACTTTTTTGTCCAACATGGTTACCAGTGCTATTTTTGTTTTTATTTTCAAATTAGTTTACGCACACAGTTTCAGTTTTCAGTGTGGTTTTATTAGTTTTTTTTTTTTCATTTTATTTTAAAAAATATATTTTAATTTAGTTTTTGTGCTTTTTTGGTTTTCATATACGTTTTAGTGATTTTAGTTCTAGGGTTAGACTGAAAGTTGTAGAGCTACTTTATCTGTCTGATCTTTACAGAATCCCACATGATTACGCAATTCACATTGTGTACTAATGTCCTCAAAATAGCCAAAATATCTCCCAGGTATTGTTAATGGTAATTCAACATAAACAAATAATAAACAATATTTAAAAGCAGAAGCAGAAAGTATTTGATGTTTATTGTATTTCAATTAGTATCGGAGCGCAATGTATTTTTATCATTTTCTATTTTCGGATCTTATTTTATTCCAGTGTATGAAAATCTTTTCTTGCTGTTTTTGTTTTCATTAACAATAATAATCCTGCTCTGTATGTACGCTGTCAGTCTCCAGTCCATGAACTGTTTACATTAATGATTAATTATGTGGATTTACATAATTATATCGATGTGCAGTAACATACACAGGCCTTACACCTGCTGCAATATCCACAAAGGATCAGACACATAAAGGCACACATTTAGCAGAACAATTTCATTTAAATATAGATTTAGATTTCAGATAAGCACCATCTGGTTTTCTGGTTGGGGGGAGAGAAGGTTATTAGTCTTGTCTCAGCGTTTCACCCGCCTCTCAGTCACGGTTGCCTTCTCTGAATGTGTCTTTCAGGAGCTCATCACTACTCTATACATTGGCTTTCTGAGCCTCATCTTCTGCTCATACTTTGTGTATCTGGCTGAGAAGAATTCCGTCGACGGAAGTGGGAGAACCGAGTTTGGCAACTATGCCGATGCCCTGTGGTGGGGTGTGGTGAGGCGCTTTTGCTGACTGCTCATGCGTTGTTTTTCATGCTCGCCTTATTAAGCAGTAACCTGTCATCGTGCGCTGGCTTCCTGTCCAGGTTACCGTGACCACCATCGGCTACGGGGACAAGGTGCCACAGACGTGGGTCGGCAAAACGATAGCATCGTGTTTCTCAGTGTTCGCCATCTCCTTCTTCGCTTTGCCAGCAGTGAGCCAATGACGTTGTCATTACTTTGTCACATCTGTACAGCGAAGCTGTCACACGGCACCGTACGCTGGTTTTCAGAAGACAACAGAAAGCAGGGTCATGGTGCATTATTCACTTAGCGTCTTCTGAAGGACAGCAGAACGTGTCTTAGTGTTATGGATTAAAGCAAGCTAATTCAGACCCACATCCATTCACCTTCTGTGCAGGGTTGGGATGTCAGTCTGTAACTGTGCACTGTGTTACACGCTATGGGCAATTTACAGACATTAGGTCACCTAATCGCATGTTTTTTTGGAAATCCGAAAGAACGCAGACAAGAAAACGTCACACACAGAGCTGCAAACAGGATTCATTCCTGCTTTATCAGACCATATATCTTTCCACATTGCCAAGGGATCCAGGTTTTGTGCTTCTTTTTAGCTGTGCAGTTTGGCAAATGATATGATTCTTGAGACTGTCCTCCCCTGACCGATTAAATCATTTAGTAAGTCTTTGCACTCTTGCTGTTACTTTTCCTCATGTTATTTTTAAAATTCATACCATAGTTCTGATTTTCACACCTCCTTTACGGTTGATATGGGCTACTAACTGACATTAAACCTGATACAACTGACTCTTATTTGTAATCGCATTTGTAATTGTGATGCAATTACTTCAGAATGTAAGAAATTCTCATGTAATGCTTTTATTGTTTTATCCATCCCTATTCAAGATGATACAAAGCTGCACCAATGTGCTATTAATATGCAATTATATATTATTATGCAACTATATCATAGCTAAATGATTCTATTGTTTGACCTTTTTCAGTCTTTTCTTGGCACAGGTCATTGTGTAGTCATCTTCAGAATTGGACGGACTGACATTGTAAATTTGATGAGGCAGTAATGTAATTGCTGTTGGTACATAAAGGAAACTATGACTGAAAGAGTATGCGTCTTAGACATTTGTGATGACATTCCAGGGAATCCTTGGCTCAGGATTTGCTCTGAAGGTCCAGCAAAAGCAGAGGCAGAAGCATTTCAACCGTCAGATTCCTGCAGCAGCTTGTCTCATACAGGTGAAATGCGGCTGATTGCTGAGTGTCACTCCTGTGGCGTCTGTTTGATTCCACATGGTGGCTTTTATACATGTGCATGTGCGAATATGTCAGTGTGTAAGTGCCTTAGCTGCTGTCCCACTGGCGTGCGTGATGGGAGTATATGTATCTCACATTGAAAGTGGTACATACACTATATGGACAAAAGTATCGGGACACCTGCCCATTACACCTACATGACGTTCCATTCTAAATCCATAGGCAGTCAATATGGAGTTGGTCCATAACACATACTGTACATATAACAGCATGCCAGGACATTTTGGACAATGCTATGCTTCAATCTTTGTGGGAACAGATTGGAGAAGGTCCTTTTCTGTTCTAGTGTATCTGTGCCCCAATGAACAAAGCAAAGTCCTTAAAAACATGGTTGGGTGAGTTTGGAAGCATAGCATTGTCCAAAATATCTTGTTATGCTGTCATAGCTTTGACAGGGGGACCAACTCCATATTGGTGTCTGTGGATATAGAATGGGATGTCTTAAAAGTTCCTGTGGGTGTAATGGCGAGGTGTCCCAATAATTTTGTCCATATAGTGTAGCTTCCATACCGTCTTCTCTGCTCAGACCTCCTGGAGGTGTTTCGCTGTGGAGAGCCCAGACTCTGCGACCTTCAAGACCTTTGTGAAAAGACGGAGGCCAGACCTCAGCTCCTCTACATTCACCTCAAAGGCCAAGAAGACGGTACGCAGGGCTGCCGGCCTCCTCCACAGACTTCCTGCTCCACAAGCTCAAGAAGACTGTTCCTCTAAAATCCTGCTCTTAATCACTGTCTGGCGTTTTCCTGCCAGATACCAGCATACAGCCATAGAAAAACTTAAGAGACCACTCTATATCTGCATTTTTAATCCTGATTCTGCTGGCAGAAGGCTATGCTGAGCAGCAGGTTGCTTCCAGGTTCAAAATTTCTAAGACAGCAGTACACAAGAATAAGGTGAAGCAGGAGACACTGGGAACCAGAAACCAGACAGGCAGAGGGTGGAAGCGACTTTCTGATCCCAGAGATGAACATTAACTTATCTGACGGTTTCTCATGAGACATCAAGTGACCTTCAAAAGGAATGGGAAACATTAAGTGCAGGTGTGAAGTGCACTGATAGGACAGTTCGCATCAGGCTCCTATAGGCAGGACTGAAGTTCCATAAGACAAGATAGATGCCCTTAATGAATGAAAAACAGTGAAGAGTCAGGCTTCAGTTTGCGAAAAACATATTATTCACAGACGCACACCTATAAATTGATAAATTAGTAAAACAAAAAATTGTGCTGTGGTCTCTTCATTTTCTCCTCTTAATTTTTTCCTGTAGTTATGGCTACTTTGTTTTTCTGGACGCGGTGATTCCTGGGGCTTTTCCTGTCTGGGACACAAGCCTGTGTTTCTACACGAGTCTTTCTTTCTGAGGGACCTTTGAGAGTGACTTTCCTCGCTGCCTCTTTTCTTTGTCTTGTGCTGACATGGGCCAGGTGAGGATGAGGAGGAAACTGAAGAGTGAGAAGGAGTATGGGCCCGACTCCCCTGCTGTACAGAGAATCGCCTACGACTCCGTGTTTGATGATGCGGGATCAGATGCCTATAGCACTATCTCAGGTATTGAGTTCGACAGATTTGTAGTATAGCGGTGATGAAGTCCTGTGGCTTTGTGGTGTAACCCAGCAGCATGGACCATAATCACATCCTGTGTCTGGCTCCAGACTTTAATGTTCACAGAACATCTCAGAACATCTTGCCAGTGTAGCAATGTAGAGATTCTGGATCATGTCAAACTACAGAACGGAATAGCTCTGTTGTTGTCATGCAGTGATTCTGGCCTGCGTCACACTGCCTGTTGTGTGCTATGACTTTTGGAACCCTTGACATTAAAGTGGTAATTAGTCTTAGTCTCTATTTCAGAACCATCATGTAATTTTGATGATTACAACAGGACAGTGAGACGTTGAAGGCACATTAATATTTATGTGCAGCATGTTTGCCAGAGAGCTGCAGCTGCTTTGAGATTGTATTCTCTCTCCCCAGTATCTTTCTGGCTTTTCAGTTGTGATTTATTTGCTCATTATCCACAAATTATTTAAAGTCTAGTCCTGACCCAGGTGTCAGATTCTCTAACTATCCAGCGATTTGGTGTTTTGTTGAGTTCTTTGCTGTTGTTGATAAGATTCCTGTCGCGTGGCTTGTTAGCTTCAGATATGCCACTTCTTATTGGCCTTGTGTCAAGCTGCCTCTCTTTCCTTCCTTCTCAGGTCAGCAGCAGACATGGACGTCAGTCACCTCCTACCAGTTTTGCTCCCCAACATCAAGTAACATGCTCAATATTATGTCCAAAACGATACGATGATTGGAATTGCTCATCACCTCAGCATGGAATGCATTTTCATGCGCACTCGTGTGTTTGTGTTTGCACGCACCTCTTTATGGGTGTGTATAAGGTTCCCCAAGATTCTCGGAGGTGCGGTCCCCACTGCCGCTCCGCTACAACATTTCCTTTGGGGATGATTTGGACCTAGAGGCAGAGAGAGACTGCATACTCGCTCCGGTCAGCCACGTATCCCAGTGAGTGTCTAAAGTGTCGTGTTTCTTTTGGCTTGCTCCTCACAGATGAAAAGCTGGTGAGATACTATGCTTGAGTGACAAACAAGTAGTTACCCTTAGTCATACTCAGTGATTCCTGTAGACAGTCCACGTTTTTGCTCCCTCCCAGCTCCCAGTGTGGACTGTCTGGCCGGATGATGGCGGGGAGCAAAAACATGAACCACCCAGAGGTCCCCGAGGACCGGAATGAGAAACTCTGCTTTAGACATGGACAGAAATTTACGTGTATGTATTTTAACGTCAGAAGGAAGCAGTCTTGACACCGCTGTTTGTGTTTCTGTCACTGAGGTCACAGTATCATTGATCATATATTGCTAGACATGGCTTTAGGTTGTGGCTGCCTTAGCTTGCATCCAGGACTACGCTTTCAGCACCAGTCATCCTGCCTCTTCCTGTGCCAGTCGCCTTTTTCCTGTTACTGATTAATTCCTGAACCTCACCCTGTCCATGTTACTAACTAAGGGTGGCATCTCGGGTCCAGAATAATAATTCCCTGTTCATTTGTCCTTTCGCATTACATCAAGACTGTGGCTGTGTAAGTTTGCCTGCATGCCAGCTAAGTGTATGCAGCAGGGCGACTGGGAACGTAATGGGACCAATTTGCATCCCCCTGCAGACTTACCCTGAGTCCAGTGTAATGGGTCTGGTTGTGAATCTCACTTTCATTACCAGAACCACTGCGGCCCATTAGCCGTCCAGCACGTGGAACGGCCCGGTTCCAAGCGGCAGCTGATGGTCGCTAAGACGCGCAGAGGGTTGATTTCTTCATCCTTCTCACATTAGCCCTAATGGGATAATGACATAGCCCTGCAATAGCTGACAGCTGGTCGCTGCTGTTGGACCTCAGTCCCGTGGTCGGGCTCTCATTAGCGTGCGTTTGGGTGACTCCGGCCACCAGAGGGCAGTGTTGGCCCATGCCATTGATCTTCAGTAAGGATAAACAGAACCTGAGCCAGGTCACATTTTCCTTTATTTCTCAATTAGCATGAAGGAGGCTTTTAATTTACCTCCCAGCTTCTTTCTTTCGACTTTTTAGTCCCACATAAAATAATTCCAGATAAAATTTGTATTCTTGGGAGCTTTTGTCAACGGCCATTGTACATAATCCAAGCTCCTAAAATGAAAGCATTACGTCATGTCAGTAGGCAGAGACTCTATGCAAGAATGTATCCGACAATGGCCTGAATCAGCAGTGTGCAGTCCTGTATCTGGAATTTTGCTGATTCCACACATTGACGCTGGAATTAGAGTCACTCAGCTGTCATCACTTTAAAATTTAAGTACAAGAGCACAAAAGTGCTCATAAATAAAGACCAATAAGGGGCTGAGCTTAATAAGCTGATGCAGAGACACAGCACTGGACAAAGAACTGGACATGGACATTGAGCCAACTGGTTGGCAGTTTAAGTCAGAAAAAGGGCTTTACTGTTGTAAATAGTTTAAACTAAGGGCTTTATATAAATTGACTGAGGATAGATAGTCAAAAAACAGCTAACATTTGGAACTTGTCATAGGCAGATATATTAATACACAATAATAATAATTATCCTGATTCTCAGTATTTTTCTGTATTCTCTACAGCTGTGACCTTTCACACTGTGCCAGAAACCAACCTGCTTTTGAATATTTCTGTCAGCATTCGTGGGAGTGTTTATGTAGTTGAGTAAATTAAGGAAACATATTATATGGTTACTTGAAGAGGAGATCTCGGCCATTGCTGTTGGCTATTGTGACCATGCCGGACGTCGTGGGTGACGTCCCCTTACCAGTCACCAGGCACTGTGACATCTAAGCACAAGATGGAAATGATCACCACCCCCCCAGAGGAGAATGGTGCATAGATGAAGGTCCCCTTACAATGGACCAGACCAGTGTTTTCCAATCCAGGCCTGAGGGTCCCACAGACGATCCACGTTTTTGCTCATTTTAAGGACGCTGCCCTTGTGTACTTCGCTTTAACCCACTTTATACACATCTTGCACCTGGACCGTGTTCCTCATGTGTCACGTGTCCCCTGGCTACAGACATTAGAATTAAGAGTTGTCTGTTTTGAACAAGTGAATTTGCCTGAGTCATATTATTACAGATAACAACCGCTTCCGCTCTCTTGGCCTTGCAGAGAAACATCCACCCAGGACATTTATCTGGAAGTAACAGCGATACCAGCATTATGCCGCTATGTTTGGAAGCAGAATTTTAAGCTGCATGCGAGCTATGATGGCACATGGAATATGCGGGTATAATTATGTGACTGGGAAGCCAGACATGCACGCAGATGCCAGGAAGAGAGTTTGCTGCCAAGTTTGTCCATGGTGCACTTGCCAACCGAGTACTAATGTGTTTATTTAAAAGTGTTTCTGTGGAATTCATGGCCAGTCTATGAGCTGTACTAGAGCAAAGCACAGGCCTGCGCAGGGAGTTTAGCCCGAGCGCTTTTGCATGCCTGGAAATAAACGGCCCTGCTGGTGACCGGGGGTCCCTGAGCCAGCGCCAGCATTGTCCTGTGACGCCCATCGTGACAGCTGGCCAGAGCAGAGCTGCTTTGGCCTTGATTAGTATTTAGTCAGGCACCTAGGAAGAAAAGGAAGCTTCTGGAAGTGCGCTCGTTGGTCTGGCTTTGTGGGAGTGAAAAAGCAACAGGCTAACGCAGGTGTCAAAGGAAGTGGGCCCTGGGGGGGGAATCGGCAAACGGGCTTTCAGATGAAGGCGCGACCCGCTGGAGACTGACGGAAGGCTTTAACCGTATCGCCTCACCGGTAATTTACCGGTAATTTACCGCTTTTACCGCATATTACCCTCCCTTTACTTAGTTGGTCTTTATTACTGTTATAAGTTGGACATACAATAAAAGCATATCTTGTTCAGTTTTAACAGAAAGAGCCATTAGCCGGGTCATGTCATGTTGTCTTGCGTCCACGAAGCAGGCCGACAGACACACGTGATGTTGGATGGATGGAACCATGATCTGCAGGCTGTCTGTGGCCTTCTGCCTTGGGATTTGCATACATATGAAGCTTAGAAGGCAAGACTAGGCAAGTTTATTTATATAGCACCTTTCCCATACTACAGTCAATCAAAGTGCTTTATACATTAAAAATACAGAATACAAAGAAAATTCAAATTAAAAACACGATTGAAACATGAAAGTTTTGAAAGTGAAAATTAAGCATGAAAATAAGATTCAAGATTGGTTTATTGTCAATGCAACAATATACACAGTATACAGTGTATTGAAATGTCGTTCCACACAGGTCCCCCATGGTGCATTATAAAGATGAAAAATATACCAAAAAATATAAAACAGATATTTCACATAAATAATCATTTCTAACTAAATTTGTACTATTTTATTATTATTATTGTTATTTGTAATAAAAAGCAAATTGCAGGTAAACTGGGATAATAAGATGCCGTTACAGGATAGAAAAGTCAGAAAGCTAACAGGGTATTAAGCTGAGGAAGAAGTCCAGACAAATAGGAATGTTTTCAGCCTGCATACAAAAGCGTCTGGCGTCAGGGCTCCTCTAATGCTGTCAGTCAACTGGCTTCATTTAAGAGCAGCGTAATAGCTAAGCACTGCTTTACCTTAGGCAGGGCTAACTGATGCCTTCCTAATGATCTGAGAGTTCCATTCAGCTCATATCGCTGCAGCATATCAGATAGAAAGTCAGTAGCAAGTTATATGATGGACACACCAGAGGAGGTAGGATTCCCCCCCCCCCCCCATGTGCTATTTTTGGGTCCTGGTCCAGTCGAGGCAACTGTTATACTAAAGACCCCAACGTGGACCGGTGGTGGGAGGGGGACTGTAACCCTGGCTGAGATGAAAGGGACACTCCAGCCTGCAGTCTTGGTCGCATGGGCTGTCATACCGGTTCTAGAGCCTGGAGGTGTGACGAGGACAGGGAGGGACTCGTTGTCCCCTAGGACCACCCAGAATCCTCTGCCTGAGCCTTTTGTTGCCTCCCACCCACACACAAAGACATCACAGCTCCGCGTCACCGTCTTGTGGACACAGCTGTCCATTCCCCGTCCTGCGTCCGAGCTGTTCCTGCTCGTCATTACTGTCACCGCTCCCTTTCTGTGCTCCCCGCAGCTGCAGATCTGTCCCCTCGTAAGAACCCAAAGGGACACGCGTTTCGCTTTGGGTCCCGTTCTGCCGCCACAGAGGCCCGGCCTGAACGGACCGTGGTGAGAGGGAAACACAACATCAAGAATGCAAAGCTTAGAGAAAATGTCATTTTAGATCCCAAATCATTACTTTTGTGGAAGCACTTGGTTTTGTCTGGCGGTGGAAAAAGCCACTCCATTTCAGATCATCTGTGGGGATCAGAACTGCTCTTGAGTTCAATGACAGCCCATAGTTGCTGCGGTTCGGCGTCGTTGCCAGATTCTCAGTGAAAATCGCTGGTCCCAGGTGCCTAACGTACGTTTGCCGCACGTCGGCCTGTCATGGAGCACATTCTGAGGACAATGATCCCGTGGGCTTTGGTTTGGCCAGGCCTGCTCTCAGTTCCTGCCTCGTTGCAGCTTGGAATAAACCTTTTTCCAGCATCCCCTTCCTCCCCAAATTGAGGACATGTCTTGGGTGAAAGGAAGTAGCTGTCGGCAATGCCGGGTGCCAGATAGCTGCCATGTAAGGGGTGTCATTGATGGGGTGGGGGCACGGCACATGCCAGCCTCCGCTTACCTCACATCCTGACAGCGTGTTCTGCGTTCAGCTCTCCTCTGACATTCATCCATGCCTGCATTTTGTTGTGCAGTAATTTCACTTCCTTGTGTTTTTTCTGGACAATTTTTTTGGCGCCTCATATTGACTTGGCATGATGTTACAAAGACTGTGGTTGTTGGCCTGATGATTCAGAGCTTATGCTGAAAGCATTGGGCTGTGTGTGAGCAGGCCGGATCGTACCTTTGTACACTAGTTGCGTATTTGTGCATTTCTGTGGATGCAGACCTGA